TGCCAACTTTTGTGTTGGAGGGGGATCCTGACCCTTTAAAACCTGTCATAATTGGGAACAGGATGCAATCTGGCAAGAAAGTGGAGGAGCTGAGTGGGATGGGGTTAAATATTCTGACAGAGCTTGGCAGATCATGAATGGAACCTGGGGAAATCTGGCGTTTACTGGCATTTCAGACCTCCGGATTTGCTTCTTCAAACAATATACTTGTGCTGATCAAACCATTTAAATACAGACTGACTGGGAGCTCAGTTACTTGATATCAACCAATGAAAGTCACTTGAAATGTGCTATACAACATTTAGCAGGCCTGGCTAGATGCCTTTCTTCCTCATGTGCTTTTTGCAGGATGTTCTTATATTCATTAAAAAAAAGGTATCCATACAAATATTGTGCTTTATTGCTTGCACAGATCCAGTTTGTATGTTAGGTTTCATTCCATGTGGCTGTTGCCAATATAAGAATACATGAATGAGAAAGTCACTTGGAAGAGGCCAATCATATGTTATGACCCCATGCCGGTACTGCTAATGAGGATCTTGACTGATGGACAGGAGATGCTAGGCTGTGAGTTTACCATGTGATACAGCCCTGTCCTATGATCTCTTCACTACATTACTAGAGCAACAAGGGATACAACTACAGGGAAGCAGCATCTGCTATGGCAACCTTTTGGTTCCCTTGTTTTTTAATGCAACTCCCATCATCCCTGGCTGAGTTGGCTGAGGAGTTGTGGTCCAGCAACATACGGGGACCCAAGGCTGAAGAACTCTGTACTATGGTCAGCTAATGTCTGATATGGGTTTTATCTAATGTGCTACAAAAAGGGGGGGGGGGATTCAAAGAAATCCATACTTTGATTTGTTCCTCATTAGATTGTCCCCTCAAACATGAATGAAATTAGGACTAAAGCAAGTTAAGCACTTCAGGTGGTTTATGTAGAGTCTTCATTGGCCTGATTCATGTATTGCTTATGTCTCTTCTGTCTACCGCATATTCCCACAGCACATTGCACGAGGGATTTGAGTGTACAACAGTAGCTTAATTTATGTGATTCTTCTTCAAGGCGAAAAGGGGGCAAGAAAAGATAATGTAAAACAGGCCGTCATGTATAGGCAGTGACTGTTTTTTGGTGCAACTGTGTGCGTCACAATAATGGGTGGGATTGGAATGTTTTCAGGCTTTTTCAATGATGTTTCAAATATATGTGATTCCACTTAAATACGCAGTGCCTTGGAACGTAACCTCCATGTAAATTGGGAGTTCTCTGTATTGCAAAAGAGGTCTTGTGGAGGGGGAGGGATACACAGCCTCTTATAAATCACATGAAGGGACTCAGAAGCCCAGTAACAGCATGTGAGTTGATCTTTAATTTGGGCTGTGCCAGAGACTGTGAGGGGGGTGGGGTTATCTTAAGGTGCAGTAAAAGTGACAAATCTTTTTATTCAACTATTACTTGCTTTTTAGGCACTGAATTTTGGAGATATGCCGAAGTACTTGTGGGAGATTTGGGTACCTGACAAACCATGGGTGGTAAGATATCAGAACTGTTCAACAACAGCAAAAGAACCAGTTTGTTTGTTTTCTTCAAAATCAAGTATTGTGGGTCCAGCTTCCCATTGAAACCAGTGTTCAGGCTCCCTTAGGGAGCTCCATTCACCAACATGTTTCACCAACATAATATATTGGGAGGGGGCATAAAGGGATCGTTATAGGGCATAGTATAAGAGGAACTATATATACTATATGATGCCACTGTGCTAAGTCCTTGTTTTCAGTAGGACCCCAGGGGTAGGGCCAGGTCATGGCCCCTGAGGTCAGTAGTTTTAGCTGGAAACTAGAGAGGAGTAAAGCACCAAACAGAACGTGGTACTTCTTTGGTGTCTAGATTAACATGGAAGACAAGGCCTAACCAATCTATAGGCTTCATAGTGTCCAATTCTGGACACAGTCCTTGGTAACTCACTAGGCTGGGCCACAGCCTCAGAACCTGAACTTTCTGGTTCAATCTGAGGAATCCCTACCACTCTCATGGAGTGAAATGTTTTGAAATTGTAAATAATAATTTGTTTCAATGGAATGAGGGTGCTCTATAATTTCAAGAGATTTGGAGAGAAAATAAAAGTTTTCTTATAACTGTCTTGGAGTTGACCATATGCATTGCCAAAAATATGAAAAATAAATAAATGAGATGTATCACAAAAAGGGACATAAGAAGACACAAGTTTGCAGAGAAATAGCATTTTCTAATTTCTATGTATGGATGCAATTTTAGAAATAATTACAAAAAATTAAGTAGAAGCACAGTTCACCTTACCGTAGTATGGAAAAATGCTCTACTACATGCAGGCAGACACACACACACACACACACACACACACACACACACACTCCTCTCTTGTTTTAAGGTTCTCTATCTTTAGAGAACCTTGGACCAGGTAGCATTTCAAAAAAGGACTCCCTCAAATAGAGTCTTCTATGAAGTAGGAAACACAGACCCTGTAACCGACATGGCAAATATATTTTTTTCCACTGTAAAATATTTGCATTAAAGGCAAATTCACACAAAATACTCATTTAACATTTGTTGCTTAACAAAAAATAAATTTGAAAAATGACTTGTAGGTGCAGGCAAGGGAAGCATTTTTAAGTCCCATTGATTTTGATGGGAGAGATTTAAGCAGATGCTTCAGTCTTCCATTGAAACCAATGGGACTTAAACTACTCAGCTTTGGTTGAATAGTGTCATATTTTTTCCCCATATTATCACTCAATAGGAAAAAAAATTGCTCTGATTTTGTTACTAGGAAATTAAGCATGCAAAAGCAGCTTCCAATTATATCTCATTGGAAGCTTGTATTTCATGCAAGTCTTTTACAATTCTGTCATTATACTTTATTGCTTATGTTTGAAATCATAATGTTTTATTGCAGAGCTTTGTAGATTACACTTTTCAATTCAGACTATTTCTTTCGGGAGTTTTGTTGGCTACTAATAAATATATTAAGCTTTTGATAATTTGCTTATCAATGTTTATGCAATGCACTTTAATGGGGCACTTAAGCACATTGAAGTACTAGTGAAATGTGTGTTGTCCACTTGACTGTGTTTGGGATCATGGTCTTCGTGTGTATTCTTGTTATTTATCATGTATGGGACACTAAGGGCTTGATCCAGAACAGGACATCTCTACATGCAAAAGTGCATCCACAGCTAATGTGGATGCCAATGACATTATGATGAGCATGTTCAACTCTATCACAGTATTCATTGTGCAGGGCCTATTGAACTGTGTGTGTTTTGGGGGCTGGTTTTTATCCACAATAATGTTTGAGAATGTAAAGCTGGATATGTATGTAGACCTTGGTATTTTTTAACTGTGGTTTTTGCTTATAAATGTCACTAAAAAGTAGTAACTCTTTCAAACAACTCAACAGAACTAGTCTGGAAGTTTCTCCCATTTAGCCAAGCTACATCATTAGCTATAAAGTATTTTTCCCCAGCTTCTGTTTCATTTTGACTCATGCTTGCCCTCAAAGCAGCTGTTTAATTTGAATGTAATTTAGGCAACTAGAAAGGCACTAATTTCCTTTTTTGTTACTTTTTAAAAGTTAGGCCAGTTGTTAAAGCTACAAATGAGGTAGCAATTATAGGGAGATTCAAATAGATTCAGTCCAACTAGGTGCTATTCTGTTTCGTCCTGACACCGTCTCAGTAAAGGAAAGCAGAGCAACAAGATGTGTTTTATATCTTGAGTTCATCTCTCCCTAATTAGTACTGTTTAATGAACCGTTCACCCCCTTGGTTCTCGTGCCTCCCCTTGGGGATTTCCCAGCTGTTTTGCTCTCCTGTTGTAATTGAAATCCAACTTGTTCCAACCTGTAATTGATAGTGAATTCAACCATTTTATGTTTGCCATGAGACAGACGTATGGCGTATGCATGCAAAGCAGCATATGGACAAAAGAATGGCCTACCACCATGAAAGGAAATTTGATTTTGCATCACCATTGTTTATACAAGGAGGTGATAATACACAGATAAGATGAGAGTATATGCAGCTGTGCATATCTACACAGTCATCCTGCAGGCTTCATCACCTGTAAGTAGGCTGCAGCCTCAAAGAAAGGAAGGAGCTAGGGAGGAAAGTACAGGACTGGGCCAGCCTGGGGCTCCCAGTATCCACCATGTCAGGACCGCGCACATCCCAGTGGGAGCCTGTTCTGAATGCCAGAATGTCTGCATTCAGGGGTTGCCTTACCTCCAGGTCTACGGCTGTTAATTTTTATTATTTGCTAATTTCTCTATTCATTAATTGTATACCCTGCCTGTCTTTCCCAGTGGATACTCAAAGTCACCCTAAAGTTCCCATTAGCCACCCTGGTTCAGCCTGCGCAGCACCGCTGCATCGCTTCCTCTTCATGACAGACTGATACAGCCTCCATTGTCCTTGAAATATTCAGAAGGTATATACAGAATGAGGAAATGTGCATGTGTGACAGAGCGGTGGGAGGTTGGATTGTGGCAGCAGGCCCCACCCCCAATCTACATGCAAAGGCTGCATGTGTATTTTCAGCTGCATGTGTGAAGTAGCCCTTGCCCTAAGTGCATTCAGTTACCCTGGACACGTTGGCTGAATAACACTTCTATATATGTTTTATCCATGGCCCCTGTTTTCCTTAGCCTCCACTTCCCTCAAGTCCTTGTAATCTCTCTCCTGTTTATCCTCCGGGCTCTGTCTCCTCTTACCTGCCTTTTCCCCAGGTTCTTTCATCCCATACCATTACTTACCCTGCCCTCTGCCTGTAGCCATAAAGCCTTTCAGAAGCTTTAATCCCAGCTGAATTGAAAGTTTTCACTTCTTTCACAAGACAGGCTATGAATATTGTGTTGGGCCACTTGCTTCATGAGCAGCTGGAATACTTATAGACGTCCCCTTCCCTTTCAGCAGTGCAACCAATCACTGCCAGAAGTCTCAGAGAAAGCGGTTTAGGAGAGAAAGCATAGCTCAGTGGAAGAGGATGTGCTTTGCATGCAGAAAGTCCCAGGTTCCATTCCTGACAGCTCCAGTTAAACAGATCAGGTAGTGGGTGATGTGAAAGATCTGTGCCTGAGCCCCACAAGAAGGGCTGGCAGTTAGGGCAGGCCGTACTAAACTAGATGGGGGAGATGATTTGATGTGGTATGAGGCACTTTCCTATGCAGTGCACATCACATAACAGCACAGACTAGCTGAACACCATGCGAAAGTGCTGCAAGATCTGTCTGTTGTTTCAGTTGGCCACCGGGGTCAAACTAGCAAAGGGTGAGAGCCCTTCAGTGACGACTACAACAAAACAAAACTTTTAAGATGCTTTACTGTGGTGGAGGATTGTTGGTTTTTACTGCCTACTTAAAGTGTTCAGGATGGGGCAGGATATAACTCTAAATTATGCCTGCTGCAGAATTTGTGAGTCACAAAGCCATAACATAGCCTTCTGGGGCTCAAGAGGCCCTCCTGTTTTGCTTCCTGCCTGGACAGCAGAAACGGGCTGGGAGGTTTGATCTTGAAATAAACTAAACATAACAAAAAAATATAAGGTAGCAGTATATTTTATGCATACAGAAATCATGTATTAATTGACCACAAAAATGACCAAGCTTATACTTAGTAATGTTGTGGGTGTATTCTGCTTCTGCCCTCCTTTCCTTCAGGAAAATATTCATTATTAACAAAATATGCTGCCTTAGAGACTATTATTTTATTTTGGGTCATATTTCCCATGTCATTCAAGCCAACATATAAATCAATGGATTGATGGGCTTGCGGGGGGGGGGGGACATTTAGGTAATTGAAGCAGTTCCCCACCCCTTTCATAGTGCCTGGACATTCCATGCATTAGTCCACATTACTAGATTAATTTGGGATTTTGCCATTCACTGAATACATTCATACTTTTATCTCAGTCAGTGAAGCTTCATAGACCTTTCTTGTATGCAGACAAGACGGATGCAAAACAATGTTATCTGTTTAAAAGGAAGAATCTGTTTAATTCTTACGAGTGGGTGAAATCCCCCCCTATTTAAAAATCATTTCTCTTACTTGGTATTTTGATTGGGATCAGTTTGACACCTGTCATCTCTAAAATAAGCCTCCACTGGCAAGGGAAAGATTCAGTGTTCACATAGAACTTTTTCTATCTTTGACTTCTGTGATCGGCAATAATATATGTACATTTTTAATGCTATCTCATGTTATATGTTTAAAGGCCCAGATTATTTGTACTCTTGATCCTTTTTAAAAAAAGAGCACATAAGACATAAATCAGAGATGTCAAAGAGAAGCTGTCAGCAGAGTATCACAGCAAAGGCTCTTGCGCACTCTTAAATTTCTGCTTGAAAGGAGCTCTGCACACTGTTTCCTTATGAGTCAGCTTCGTCAGATACTGGCAACAACTCAGGGTGGTAAAATCAAGCTATTTGCCCCTTGGGCCCCGAGGTGTAATTCAGGACATTAACTATCATTCAAAGATATACGTGTTTTCCCTTTTCTTGTCTCCAGAGACAAGAGGACTGGGAGGCCACTTGAAAAACGTGTACAGGCAGAGCAACCCCAGCATCCAAATCTATCTATCTATTTATTTTTACAAACACTATTAAATATATTGCATGCGCAAGGAAAATGTACGTGGCGATTTCTATTATGATTCATCTTCTTGTGCTCCTGAAAATACAGAAAGAAACTAACATAGATCAGGGCTGACCTACTGAAAGTATAAGAACAGGGACAGCCCAAGATAAGATTTATAGGTTGCCAGATCTACATGGGTTGTTGAGTTCTGTGCCATGGATTTACTAAAAATTCTGTCCCAATTTTGCTTATTTGTAAAATGGGCAAATGGTTCCCGCCCCTAAGGCCATCTCAGGCTGTACATCCTTAACAATATGTGTATGTGGGGTTTTTTTGGGGGGGGGTTATTGGGTTGTTCTTGTTTTTATTTGATTATGTATTTTGTGTTTTTATATTGTGATTTTATCCTGTGAACCTCCCTGAGACCTGAGGGTATAGGGTGGCAAACAATTAATCATTAATTATTTAATTAATTTAATAATAATATAATGCATGTGTGTGTTGCACACATGACTTGACCTTTAGTCTGTTAATGGGGTCACTCGCTTTGAGTTATTTGCTCTGCGTTCATGTTTTGTGTTTGCCCAGTTGCAGTCTGGATCTGTGTTGGCAAAGGACTCGTAAGCATAAGCGATAGATGTACACCTTTTGGAGGCAGTTGTAGCAGCCGCTTCCCCAGCAGGCAGCCAGCAGGTGCAGCAGCAGCCGGTTCTGCTTCTGCCACTCCTGCAGCCTGAGGCAATGGCCTGAGGGTGCGTCGTCATAACTCCAGCCCTGGTTGCAAAGAAGTGGCTTTCCTACGCAGGAAAAAAATCTGTGTAGGAAGTGTTTCCAGTGCAGGGATTCATTGTACGTGAAGCAGTCCCCAGTGGAGTACAATTAATCCAATCTTGTAATTTCCCCCCATTAGTCATAAAATCAAAGGTATTTATTTTTTTGGCCTGGTATAAACATTAGGCTTGAGATGTAACCTCATATATTAAAATTAATGGTATTTTAATAATTCAAAGTAAATGAAATGCCATGAAGGAACCCTGATGCTGATGTATTGTAGGAACCGGGCTAGGCTCAGAAAATTGCAGTATTAGCCACTCAGTTTTAATGAAGTAGAACAAAAAAAGCAGTAAAATGTATTGAGTATATTAAAGCTAAGTAGCTCTAATAATTGCAAGGCGTGTTCCTTACAACCTATGAGCAGCAATGATGAACTGTGTCTTTGCATGTATGTAATTATGAATGATTCATATACATTGAATATTTGAGTATATATAATAAATTATCAGAGTGGGGGTATATGCATAGCCCCATGACTGTGTATACATAGTATATTTTTCATATTTCTAATTTACATGTTTGTTTTTAATTCAAACAGCACATAAATGAATAAAAATGAACTGGCTCCCATTGGTTCCCAGTCCCAGTTCACAATGTTAGGCATGAACTTGCCTGGGAGTTACATTAATCTAAAATGTCCTTGTACTGCCTCCCACCTCCAGGGGAAGCATGTTTAGCAAGGAAGTGGAATAGGACCTTTTAAGTTGTGGCACCCCAACTGTGGAACTCTCTCAAGAGAGAGATTAGAGCAGAAAAACCTTCCTTAATGGGTCAAGGTGCACTAATTCTGCCAGGCCTCTGTTGTGTATCAGAGGGAACAAACCAACTTAGACCATGAACTGCTTTAGTTCAGGGGTCAGCAAACTTTTTCAGCAGGGGGCCGGTCCACTGTCCCTCAGACCTTGTCGGGGGGGGCGGACTATATTTTGGTGAAAAAAATGAACAAATTCCTATGCCCCACAAATAACCCAGAGATGCATTTTAAATAAAAACACACATTCTACTCATGTAAAAACACGCTGATTCCTGGACCGTCTGCGGGCTGGATTTAGAAGGCGATTGGGCCGGATCCGACCCCCAGGACTTAGTTTGCCTACCCATGCTTTAGTCCCTCTCCTGCACTCCAAATCAGTAATGGGGACATTCCCTAAGAAGGGTTCTACATGCAAGCAGCCTTGCTGGATGGTGATTAATTCATGCAAAAGGGTGTTGTAATCAGTAGGGGGGAAATCCATATCCAGAATTCAGGACTAGTACACAGTAAAACCTGTAGGGTCACGAGACTGCATGTGCGACCTGCTAAATGTAGGTTGGCAGTAGCCTTTTACTCATGTGAAGATAGCCAGCACAGGGAGAGGAGTTGGGGATGGTGTCACATATTTAGCCCTATCTGCAACATTTCACAGCTCCTCTCACCCCCAAAATCTCTGCCACTGTGTTACAGCGTAACTACCACAGTGGGGTGCATTGTGGGTTCCTGTGTCACTTAGAACTCTGGGCAGGATTGTAAACTGCAGAAATTTTGTCCCAGGATGCCAATGGCAAGAGGAGCCGATGAACTTTGTTGATGGGGCTAAATGAATGCAGCCCCACCAATGTGGCCAGCCTTACCTTCCTTAGTCGAGTCATGTCTGAAGAGGGCTGCTGTCGTATTGAGCACAGTTTGTGGCTTGTTTTCTGGTTGGGGTAGTGAGAAACTGACAGGAAGCCAAAGGAAGTCAAATTAGCACTGCCATTTTGTGGAGTTGCAGAGGTTTGCTCTTACGTTGTTGTTGTTGTTGTTAAATTTATATACAGCCCTATATCCACAGGTGTAAACACTGGAACTAATTTAAGTAAAACTTTTAAAATCTAGCTCAGAAGTGGCTAACTCACTTTTGTTGCTGAGTACTACTGTTGGATTGTATTTTCCTGTGGCTTTAGGTATGGCATTTAAGACATTTAATTTTATGTAACCCATTCTGCAAACCTTTAGCTGAAGGACAGAAAATAACTTCTTGTCCTCCAGATTGTGTTGGACTGCAATTCCCATCAATTCCACCCAGCATGACCAGTGTTCAGGACTGATAGAAGTTATAGTCCAGTAGCATTTGAAGGGTCACAGATTCACCAGCCCTGGTCTAGACATTCCTTCACTGTATGATTCATGTAATATGTTAGGCACCTACTGAACATTATAGGAAAGCATTTTTGATGCATATTAAAATTTTCATTTCATTTTTTATCGTGTTTGGGGGGTTTGATAGTATTGGAAAGATGCTAAATATTTGTTTGCTTATCCTGTTCACAGATTTGCTTATACCTTGGCCTTTTACTATGGCCCAAACCAGAGCTACAGCTATTACACACGAAAGCAAAAATGCTAAAACAAACAAAACCACCCAGGAATCAGTATCAGAATAAATAATGAAAAATACCCTACCCACTTTTTAAAATGAGTTTAACTTTCATCTGCCAAAAAGCTAGCCGTAAGAAAGCAGGAGGAGGCTCTTTGGGGAGAGAATTCAGGGTGGGAGCCACTCCTGAAGAAGAACCCCTTCCTTGGGACCTTGCACTTGCAGAAGACGATCTGAACACACTGGGGATGTGCGTGCATGTGACCGAGGAGGGCATTAACAATTTCAG